TCTGCTGTGTGTGGGTGGCCCCTGGGTACGTTAGTTGGTGTGTTCTAGTTGGGTGGAAATGGGAACATATGATGTCGTGGAGCCAATACTTTGATGTGGGCTCACACTGAAGTGAAAGACATGATTGGTTTGTATAGGACAAAGGTGTGTCAGCCTTGAGTGTGGTAATGAATAGGCAGGACCTGCCAATACAGCCACTCTCCCGAGGCAAACAGTGAACCAGGGACCTGGAGTTGACGGTTCAGCCTCTTCCCTCTAGCTTCAGATCGCGCTTGGCTCAGGACATGGCCAACACGAAAAGTTGACCTCTGAGACAGGAAATGCTCGGTGAACACAAGCCTGATGGAAGTAGACACATGATATCTCTTCATTGAGGACCCAGTTCACGGAGCTTGAAGCTTTAGTCCTGTCAGATGGGTTGATATCAGTACTGTGTCCCTGATCTGTGCGTCCCTCCCCTCTATCCCCAGAGCCCAAGGCTGTGTTTGCCAAGGGGCAGCTGGCATGCAGCGAGGTGAAGGTCCAGGCAGGGGCGAGTGCCACTCTGAGCTGCAAGGTGGCCCAGGCCCAGACAGAGGTGACGTGGTACAAGGATGGGAAGAAGCTGAGCCAGGGCTCCCAGGTGCGTGTGGAGGCCTCTGGCTACAGGCGGCAGCTGGTGGTGCAGCATGCAGGCAAGGCAGATGCTGGGGAGGAGAGCTGCGAAGCCAGAGGCCATAAGGTCTCCTTCCGCCTGGACATCACAGGTGGGTGATGCTGGGGTTGGGTGAATGGAGGGAGGGTGGTAACTCTTGGGTACCTGTGGCAGCCTAGGCTCTGTGAGGCCTGTGTCCTTGTTGACCTTGGACCTCAGCATCTGTGGCCAGCTCTGGGTGGAGTACGGCACTGGGGTTGTTTGCGGCTGGGGAGCATGTCCTGCAGGGGCAGGGGTTCCCTCTACCTTGCCATGCCTACTTGCTGGGCCCAGAGCTCCAGAAGCCCTTGCTTGGGCCCTTTGGAATCCTGCATGTCCATCTGTCCTTCCCCCATCTCCTTCTCTTCCCCACTGTAACCTGTCCCTGAGCCTGGGTAGGGGCCACATGGGGCTCAGAGCCTCTCTCCCGATTGCCCACCTGGTGCTGGACACTCTCCCAGTGACTTGCCTAGTGCTGTTTTTTTTTCTGATGGGTTCAGGATGACAGTTCTCTGATGATTGGTACACACTGGCACTTGGCTGTCTGCAGATTGGTTCACACTGGCACTTGGTTGTCTGCTGATTGGTCCACAGTGGCACTTGGCTGTCTGCTGTTTGACTGGCACTGAGCTCTGTGCTAATTTGCCCCATCTGGTACTGAGTTGTCTGCTGACTGGCCCACACTGTTACTGAGCTCTGGGCTGATTGGCTGGCACTTGACTCTCTGCTGATTGGCTTGCACAGGATCTGAGGTCTCTGCTGATTGGCCAGCACTGGCAGTCTGGTCTCCTGCACTCCTTTGGTAGCTGTGGTCAACAAAGATGTGGGTTTCTGGTTTGTTGCAGGCAAGGCGGACGCCAGGGTACAGCTGTAAAGGCTGGGGGCTGCTGTGTCTGCCTCCCCTTGCTTTTGTGCCCCCTGTGTAGTGGTAGAGCTGGGAAGCCACTGATGGGCTGGAGTCCCAGGGATGAGAAGGGTCATGGTCTATTCCCAATGGCTAGGAGGGTATTTGCATAAGGAGGTAGGCCTGCCTGTGGTGGCCTTGTGGGCTGTGACAGTACAGTTACCTGCAGGATAAGAGTGGATCAGGAAATGCTTAGGGCTCTGATAAGGACAGGCTGCCCAGCTGTTCACCCACCAGCCTTGGAGTTTGCAGCTTGGGTCATGTGTAGGATAGAACTTAGGCATGGCCATGCAATATTCTGCTCATGATAGACACTTTGCTCGGCCATCCCTGGGGTGGGCTTAGGCTATGAGACAGTACTGGGTCTGTTCTGGTGTCCCTAACCTGTGTGTTCTTCCCCTCTGTCCCAGTGCCCAAGGCTGTATTTGCCAAGGGGCAGCCAGCACACAGTGAGGTGAAGGCCCAGGTGGGGGCGAGTGCCACTCTGAGCTGTGAGGTGGCCCAGTCCCAGACAGAGGTGA